TTTTTTTTTTTTTTTGTAGAGACAGAGTCTCACTTTATGTCCCTCGGTAGAGTGCTGTAGCATCACAGCTCACAGCTCACAGCAACCTCCAACTCCTGGGCTTAGGTAATTCTCTTGCCTCAGCCTCCTGAGTAGCTGGGACTATAGGCGCCCACCACAACACCTGGCAATTTTTTTGTTGCAGTTTGGTTGGGGCCAGGTTTGAACTCGGCACCCTTGTTATATGGGGCTGGCGCCCTGCCCACTGTGCCACAGATGCTGCCCCAACATATTAATCATTCTCAGTGTACAGTTCAGTGATGTTAAGACGTTCACATTGTATTGCCATCAGTATCATCTACTTCCAGAATTCTTTTCATCTTGCATAACTGGAACTTTGTACCCATTAGACAGTAACTCCTCATTCCTCAATCCCTTCAGCCCCTGGCAACCACCCTTCTATGTTCTGTGTCTATGAATGTGACTGGTCTAGGTACCTCATAAAGTATAATAATAGAGTATTTGTCTTTTGGTGACTGCCATTTCACTCAGCATATATCCTCAAGGTTCATCCATGCTGGAGTATGTATCAGAATTTCCTTTCTTTTAAAGCACATTCTGTGTATCCTTTTGTTTATTGATGAACACAAAGGTTCTTTTTACCTTTTGGCAAATAGTTTTGAAGAATTCTACAATGAACGTGGATGTACAAATAATCCGTTTGAGTCCTCTAATTAGTGAATGTTGCCATTTATGAATGAGATACAGCTTGTCATTTATTTTGGTCTTCTTTTATGATTTTTATTTATTATTGTTTGGGATTCATTGAGGGTACAAAGAATTAGGTTACAGTGATTGCATTTGTTAGGTAAATTCCCTCTTAATTGTGTCCCAGGCCCATAACCTCCTACCTTCTCCCTTTTCCCTGCTCTTTTATTCCCCTATCCCCCACCATCATCTACTGCCTTCATACCGGAATTGAGTACATAGGATTCTTGCTTCTTCATTCTTGTGATACTTTACTAAGAAGAATCTGTTCCACCTCCATCCAGGTTAATACAAAAGATGTAAAGTCTCCATCTTTTTTAATGGCTGAATAGTATTCCATGGTATACATACACCATAGCTTGTTAATCTATTCCTGGGTTAGTGGACATTTAGGTTGTTTCCACATTTTGATGATTATAAATTGAGCTGCAATAAACAGCCTAGTGCAAATGTCCTTATGATAAAATTATTTTTTTTTCTTCTGGGTAGATGCCTAGTAATGGGATTACAGGATCAAATGGGAGGTCTAGTTTGAGTTCTTTGAGGATTTTCCATACTTCCCTCCAAAAAGATTGTATTAATTTGCAGTCCCACCAGCAGTATAAAAGTGTTCCCTTCTCTCTATATCCACACCAGCATCTGCAGCTTTGAGACTCTGTGATGTGGGCCATTCTCACTGGGGTTCCGTGATATCTCAGGGTGGTTTTGATCTGCATTTCTCTGATGATTAGGGATGCTGAGCATTTTTTTCGTATGTTAACCATTTGTCTTTTTCAGAGAAGGTTCTACTCATGCTTCTTGCCCAGTGACATAAGAGATTGTTGGCTCTTTTTTTTTCATAATTTGAGTTCTCTATAGATCCTAGTTATCAAGGTTTTGTCTAATTCATAATATGCAAATATCTTTTCCCATTCTGAAGGTTGTCTCTTTTGCTTTGGTTGTTGTCTCCTTAGTTACATAGAAGCTTTTCAGTTTAATTAAGTCCCATTTGTTCATTTTTATTGTTTCAGTTTTCTTTTTTCTTTTTTGAAAGTTTTTTTTTAAAAACTTTTATTTATTTTATTTGCCATTTTTGGCCGGGGCTGGGTTTGAACCTGCCACCTCCAGCATATGGGACTGGCACCCTACCCTTTTGAGCCACAGGTGCCGCCCTATTGCTTCAGTTTTCACTGAAGTCTTCTGCATAAAATCTTTCCCCAGGCCGATATCTTCAAGTGTTTTCCCTATGCTTTTTTTCAAGGATTTTTGTTTCATGCCTTAGATTTAAATCTTTTGTCCATCTTAAATCAATTTTTGTGAGTGGTGAAAGAAAGGTGCAGGTCCAGTTTCAGTGTGTGTGTTACAGAAAAAGCAGTCCTAAGAGGGATTTTTTTTTTGTTTTGAGACACATTCTTAATTTGTCACCCTGAGTAGAGTGCTATGGCGTCATAGCTCATAGCAACTTCAAACTCTTGGGCTCAAGTGATCCTCTTGCGTCAGCCTCTCAAGTAGCTGTGACTACAGGCACCTGCCACAATACCTTGCTAGCTTTTCTAGTTTTAGTAGAAATAGGGACTCACTTTTGCTCAGGATGGTCTTGAACTCCTAAGCTCAAGCAATCTACCTGCCCCAGCCTTCCAGAGTGCTAGGATTACAGGCATGAGCCACTGTACCTGGCCTCTTTTATGATTTTTAAATATATTTTGTACTTTTACTCATAAATGTTTTTTGTTTATCTATATAGTCTTTAGTAACAAATTGAACAAAATGACAAATTTACAAGATATTTGGTTATCAACTTTTTTCTTTGTTCTTTTCCTACCTTCTTGAACTTTCAATTTTTTTCAGTCGTACTATGATTTGAGTGTCTCCCCCAGAGTTCTTGTGTTAGAAACTTAATTCCCAATGCAACAGTGTTGAAAGTTGGGACCTTTACGATGTCATTAGGTCATGAGGTCACTCATGTTGTCATCAGAGAAGTAGGTTCATTCTTGCAGAAGTGGGTTTGTCATAAAAATGATTTTGGTTCTCACTTGTTCTCTTTTCCTCTCACCCTCTCAAATTCTGCCATGGGATGATGCAGCAGGAAGACCCTGTCCAGATGCTGGCACCTCCATATTGGACTTCCTAGTTTCCAGAACTATGAGAAGCAAATTTCTCAGTCCGTACTATTCCATTATAACAGCACAAAAGAGACTATGAAAACTGACACAAAGAAATGTGGCTGTTATTACTACTAATAGCTAAAAATGTTCAAGGGGCTTTGGAACTGGGTCCAGTAATCCCCTTTCATCTGTGGGAGGATATGTTCCAAGATGCCCAGTGGATGCCTGAAACTACAGATAGTTACAACCCTCTACGTACTATGTTTTTTTCCTATACATACAGCCTATGATAAAGTTCAATTTATAAATTAGTCATAGTAAGAAATTAACAACAGTAACTAATAATAACATATAACAATTATAACAATATACTGGAATAAAAATTATGTGAATATGGTCTCTCTTTCAAACTATCTCATTGTACTGTCCCTTGTGTAACTGAAGCCACAGAAAGCGAAACCTTGGATAAGGGGGCACTATTGTCATTGGTGAGGCCAGTAGAATTTGGAGGAACAGACCAGAAGCAGCCACGATTGCTCTGAATGGAATATCAAGGGTGATTCTGGTGAGGACTCAGAAGAACTGTAGGTAAAGTCTGGAACCTCAGGCGCCAGCCACGTACACCTAAGGTGGCGGGTTCGAATCCCCAGCCCGGACCCGCCAAACAACAATGACGGCTGCAACCAAAAAATAGCCAGGCGTTGTGGCGGGCGCCTGTGGTCCCAGCTACTTGGGAGGCGGAGGCAGGAGACTTGCTGGAGCCCAGGAGTTGGAGGTTGCTGTGAGCTGTAATGCCACGGCACTCTACCCAGGGGGACAGCTTGAGGCTCTGTCTCTAAAAAAAAAAAAAAAAAAAAAAAAGTCTGGAACCTCTTCGCAATTACTTAGGTGGTTGTGATAAGAATGTTTGCAGTAGGGGCTGAGGAGGGCTCAGATGGAATTGAGGAACAAGGTATTGGAAATTGGACTAAAGCCTATTCTTGTTTATAGTTTCAAAGAAATTGGCAGAACTGTGTTCATGTCCGAGGATTTATGTAAGGCATAATTTAAAAGTAATGAACCAGGATATCTGGCAGAACAAACAGCTAAGCATTTTCAGCTAAGCAGAAAAGCATTCAAGATGCTCAATGACTTCTTCTGGCTGTTTACAGGAAAATGAGAGAAAAGAGAAGTGACTTTAAAACTTAATTAAAAATTAAAGGGGAAGTAGAAAGTAAAAATTTTGAAAAATTTCAACATGGCCATGAAAGGAATGAGAACACACATTCAGGAAGGAATACTAAAGGTGTGGCCAAGTGACTGTTTGCCAAAGCAATTAATATGGATAGAAGGAAGCCAGTCTTATTCATGAAGAAGACAGGAGAACAACTCCATAGGCATTTTGGAAATCTGAGTCATCCTGGGACTGTGAGGTGATGTCTCCAGAGCAGTGCAGGTGTGTGGCACCCTGGGACTGTGAGGGGAGGTCACAGAGCTGTGCTCCCTGCACTTCAGCACAGTAGCCCTTGGGCCCCCCTAGTGATGGTGCTGGGGGCCCAGGCACAGCTGGACCCTCCATTTTGGGAGGTGTGAGCTGTAAACTTTGGCACTGTACACAAGGTGCTGATTCTGCAGGTGAGCAGAATGCAGGAGCTGTGGGGCCATGGTGGCTTCCATCTAGATAGCTAGCAGATGTCCCTGACAGCCCGGAGGCCCAGGCAGAGTCTTGTCACAGAGGTGGTAGAGCCACTGCAGAGAGTCCCGACTAAGTTGGAAACTTAACACCCAATATAATTGCAATGAGAAGTGGGGCCTTTATGAGGTAATTAGGTCCTAAGTGATCTGCCCTCATAAATGGATTGTTTCAAGAGTGAGTTCATTACCTTGAGAATGTTTTAAAAGCAAGCTTGGCCCTCTCCTCTCCTGCTCACTTTTTCTCACTCTTTCAAATTCTACCATGGGATGATACAAGAAGGTCCTTACCAGATGTGGGCTCCTCAACTTTGGACTTTCTAGCCTCCAGAACTGTAAGAAATAAATACCTATTCTTTATAAGTTACCCAGTCTTGGGTATTCTCTTTTAGCAGTACAAACAGACTAAGACACATTTTAAACATAATTTATCTCACCATGTACATTGTAGTACTTTTATTGTCATCCAGTTCTAAATATATCATTTCTGTGTTTATTTTATTACAGTCAACTTATGTCTCATATAGATGAGAAATTCATTTTTCCAAGATTTAGTTCTGACTTAATGATGGGTTATTTATTGCAGAACTTGAATGGAAGCTAGCAGAGGTTGGAGCAATACAGACTGACCTGGAAGAAAACCCCAGAAAACACATTGTAGATATGATGGTATCTTCTATTAGAAACACTTCTATTTATGATGACAACAGTTCCAACAGTGATAATGATACCAAATAGAGAGAAATACTTAATAAATAGCTTTTAAAGTATAGCATATTGTTTTATTTACTACTGCCTTTATAATTAGAGATCAGAAAATTTATCAATTTCCTTACAAATCATTTCAATAGTATTGAGGTAATTCACAATGTTCATTGCCTCTAAGAAAGCCAGAATTTGTATTAAGCCTTTAGTGTTTTTCAGTGGCTTATCCTTTTTCTGATTCATGTTGGAAAAAACACAAATATCGTAAGTCCTCTCTATTGCCTACTGATGTTCAAAGAGACCTATGAATGAAAACAATGAAAGAAAATCATCAAATTTCATTTACGTCAACTTTTTTTTTTTTTGAGACAGAGGCTCCCTTTGTCGCCCTGGGTGTGCTGCAGTGTCACAGCTCACAACAACCTCAAACTCTTGGGCTCAAGTGATTTTTGTCTCAGCCTCCTAAGTAGCTGGGACTACAGGCACCTGCTACATTGACTGGCTATTTTAAGAGATGGAGTCTCGCTCTTGCTCAGGCTGGTCTCAAACATGTGAGATCAGGCAGTCCACCTGGTCAGCCTCCCAGAGTGCTAGGATTACATGTGTGAGCCATGGCGCCCAGCCTAAGCCAACATATTTTAATGTTTATTATTTGAGCTTTGAATTTATGACCATAAATTTATGAATATACTTTTTCTTTGAAACTTTTACTTATTAAAAATATTAACCACTTAATAATGTAATGCAATTTATAGAGTCTGAAAAGTACCTAAGAAGCATCCCCACTTGTGACTATTATTCTGAATGGTTCTGTTATTAAGTTAGAAAATTACTAAGTATTCTTGCTAATAGTTAAACTAGAGCATCATTAGATGGTATGACATGTAAGTTTCTAAATCCTGAGAAAGGTAAGAAAAAGTATATTGTGGAACTACCTGTTTCAATACGAATCACAGAAGAATTCATCCAGAGCAAACATACGATAGTAGGACCCGGCAAAAGACTTGTGGGATGTTTATCTTGGCATAATGGTAAACATTGCCTTTGGTGGGAAGGTTGGTAAATCCACGTAATAGTTCATTAACAGATTTTATTCTTCTGCTTTGTTTGCAATGACATCCATCTGACTATGGATGTTCACTGATACTTGTGAGAGAATCTAGCTTCAGTTTAAAAGCCTTGATTATAAAAATAAATTGGTAAAAACTGAGGCAATTTAACATGGTGTCAAGAAAGGGCTCTGTGTTACTATTGGTAGGATGTTAAGGGGTCTTAAGAGGCTACAGGGAGCCATAAAGTGGAAGAAAAGTTAAATATGGATTTCAGAGTAAGATAATGAGAATTTATTTCACTGGGTAAGTAAAATGAAGTGGTCTAATTTTGGAAAAGATTAGGAAATCTTTCTTCTGAGATAGCAAAGAGTTTATGAAAATATACATCTTGGGACTGGGGGGAAGGAAAGTTAAGAGAAGTCACATACACACATGTCAAGAAGTAATTACCTTGTTATACTGAGCCAACTGCTGAATACATTAAGAAATGGACACGGCTTGGCACCTATAGCTCAACCGGCTAAGGCGCCAGCCACGTACACCTAAGGTGGCAGGTTCGAATCCCCAGCCCGGACCCGCCAAACAACAATGACGGCTGCAACCAAAAAATAGCCGGGCGTTGTGGCGGGCGCCTGTGGTCCCAGCTACTTGGGAGGCGGAGGCAGGAGACTCGCTTGAGCCCAGGAGTTGGAGGTTGCTGTGAGCTGTAATGCCACGGCACTCTACCCAGGGGGACAGCTTGAGGCTCTGTCTCAAAAAAAAAAAAAGAAATGGACACATAAATTCCTATTCAGGATAAATAAGTTGTGGAAATGAAAGGAGGAATCAAATTATCATAAAATCACTCTAACTGTAATGCTATTTAATGAATATAATTGTGAACATTATTTTCCCCTCCAATTGAAACCAAATGCTAAATGACCCCCTAAATATAATCTTCTGTTTCATTTATTATCATTATTATTTTGGAAATCTGCTTTAAAGTAAATATATATTATCTATTTTCTTTTTTAAGTCCAAATTAAACAGAGTAAGTACTGTTAATACACACTGTATGCCTGTACACATATCAACATCCTATGTATCCAACTATTATGTACCCATAATAATTCAAAATAAAAAATTTAAAATAAAAGACTTAACGAAGGAAGTACTAATAGTATTTAGGAGAGCTAAAAAAAAAAAAAAAAAAAAAGGTACTTATTTCCTTTAAAATCCTAACTCAGATCCACCAGGTGGCAGTAAGTTTTTATCCACAAACAATTCTGAATACTGTACTATTATAAAAATTACCAAACTATAGCATGTTAGAACTGGCCGGTTGTGGTTCCAGCCCCACTCTTGCAAAGACCACACACATTCCTCTAGCAAGGACTCATCCTTACCAACACAGGTCACTACTACCACAAATTGCTTCATTTATACTTTTTTTTTTTTTTTAGGGTATAAAGATATATCAGAATGTGGGGAAATTATTTAATATATAATTTTGTCCTCCACTTTACTGAATTTTTTATTCAATGGAGGTACCAACTTATAAGTTTTCTTTCTAATTGCCAATATTCAACCATCTGACTATCCTATTAGTCTGTTCTTTGCCACCTGTGCTCTCCTCAAACTCCCATCCCTACTTTATACTGCCTTGTCAAAATGTGGTCCTAGAATCAGCAGCATTCCCAAGGAGCTTGTAAGAAATGCAGAATCTCTGGCCCCATACCAGACTAACTGAACCAGAATTTTCTTTTCAATGAGATCCCCAGGTGATTGACATGCACATTGAGATTTGAGAAGCAATAAGCAGCAGATCCTTTATAGGAGGCTTGCCTCCTTTCTTAAGCCCTTCCCCCACACTCTAGGTTATTAAGTCTGTCCAATTTAAAACTCTAATCTCAGTTCCAAGCCAAATACTCTCCGGCTGAACTTGTGACTTAATTAACTTTGAAGATGGAAGTTGGGTTTGTTTTTAACCAGTCTTTTCCCTCTCCTTTACCCATCCCCAACTGGGAGAATAAGGATGAAGGGATACATTTCTTGTAACTGGACAATGCACATTGCATCCAAATGTCCACTCTTTAATGGGGCACAATGAATTTTCCTAGAAACTCTGAGGCAGCCTCCCCACTTCACAGTTCCTTCTTGACATGGAGATGAGTATTGCTTAGTTTTTTCCCTTCTAATTCTGGTAGCTCCTCCCAGAAGTAAACCTAGCTTCTTGCTGCTAGAATTTCCTTCCCTCTTAGGCAGGGGTTCTCAACCTTCCCAATGCCGGGCTGTATTTTCATTGTTACAAAGGGGTCGACCCACAGGTTGAGAACTGCTGCTTAGGTGTCAAGATGACTCAAACCTAGACAGCCCTTTCTACACAGCATCAATCAAACCAGGAGAAATTTACGCATCCTTGGTATCCCTGCTATGCCAAATGGTAGAAGTGCAGGTTGTTTTTTTTAGTTTATTCTCTGCTATTTCTAAGTCTCTCTCCCCTGTTCAGGTAGGGGCAGGGCAATATTAATGAGATGCCATTCTCCCCTTCTTACAGTCACTTTCAGTTTCTCTAGCTAATTCTATTGGAGCTCATTCATTTAACTTGAGGTGAGGTGGACCATAAAAAGGAAAGGAAAAGCCACTCTCTAGTAACCTCCTAAGACATGGTTTAAATGCTCTGTGCTCCTCCTCTTCCCAACTATTCTGCACATATGGCCTGAGAGTAGGGAACTGGAGGTTTTGGCTATGGAAGTCTAGTTTGGTCCAACTTTTACCCCTAGCTGAAGGGGTAGGTATCTGGCCTCAAAGGTTGACAGCTATTTAGAAGGTGAGATACTTGATGATCTTTGTTCCCTATTTTATAGATATGCTGCTGAAGTGAGCACTTTCCCTATTCTGGGCTTCTACCCAGATCTTCTGATACAGATGTTAGCTCTACCCACTATAGTGTTACATGAGCTCATGGGCTCTCAAGTACTTGATCACTAGCACAGTACCAGCCACACAGTTCACTAAATTGTTTCTCCTTTGTACTTTTACACACATTACTAAGGCCACCTCTTGACAAAATATGCTGACAAGAGATACCTTGAGATACAAAGATGATCCCAAGAATCTTCTTTATAGCATGTTTTTTCTTTTACCTCATTCATTCAATCATTCATTCACCTCAGGCATTGATTTTTTTAATTTTTTTTTTAGAGACAGAGTCTCACTGTGTTGCCCTCAGTAGAGTGCTGTGGCATCACAGCTTACAGCAACCTCTAACTCCTGGGCTAAGGTGATTCTCTTGCCTCAGCCTCCAGAGTAGCCGGGACTACAGGTGCCCACCAAAACGCCCAGCTACTTTTTTGTTGCAGTTTGGCTGGGGCGGGGTTTGAACTTGCCACCCTCAGTATATGGGGCCAGTACCCTACTCACTGAGCCAGAGGCGCCATCCCATTTTTTAATTTTTTATTTATTTTTGAGACAGAGTTTCACTTTGAAACCCTTGGTAAGAGTGCCATGGTGTCACAGTTCATAGCAATCTCCAACTCTTGGGCTTAAGCAATTTTCTTGCCTCCGCCTCCCAAGTAGCTGGGACTACAGGCAGCCACCACAGCGCCTGGCTAATTTTTTGTTGGCAGTTGTCATTGTTGCTTAGCAGGCCCAGGCTGGGTTTCAACCTGCCAGCCTCAGCATATGTGGCTGGCACCTTAACCATTGGGCTATGGGTGCTGAGCCTTTATTTATGTTTTTTAGAGATAGGGGTCTATGTTTTCCAGGCTGCACTTTAACTCTTGGACTTAAGTGATCTTCTTGCTTCAGCCTCCTGAGTAGCTGGGACTGTAGGCACATTTGACTGCACCTTGCTCACCTGAGGCATAGACATGAATGTTGCATATAGTTGTGAACAGAACACACTGTTCTTGACCTGGAATTTATCATGTCTTGGTGAGGAAAATAGTTACTAAGTAAGAAAACAAATATACTATGTATACACAATTTAAACTTGTATTATGGTGGAAACAGTGAACACAATAAAAGAGAGTAACTGTGTAGGAGAGAGACCTACTCAAGTAAGGCAGGTAGATCTTTGAGACACGAGGGATGAGAAGGAGCCAGCCAAGAGAAATGGTAGGTAAGAGGCTCCAGGTAAGGGCACGGCATATGCCAAAGTCTGGGAGCAGAGCAAGATTGGCTCTGCTGAAAGGAGCTTTCTGAGTGGGAGTGTTACGGGAAAAGGAGAAAATGGTAAGCCACGAAGTAGGGGAGGTAGCCAAGGACTAGATTAAACAGTATTATGGACATAATTAGGAATTTGGCTGTAAGAGAAAATTATAGAAGAGTATTTAGAAGGCATGTAGCATGATTTCATTTTTATTTTCAAAAGAATCTTGCTGTTCTGTGGAGAATAAACTGAAGGGGGCATCCATCATATTTGAAATAATGAAGAAGAGGCATCAAGTAGGTAATTAGACATATTATGTAGGGAGCCCAAAGGAAAGGTAAGGGCTGGAGTTAAACATCTATGTGTCATTTCAACCATTCTCAGGCTGCCAACAAAATGTTATAAAGATCTACAACCACCATCCTCGCCACCTAACTTTATGTAGCAGTTTAATTTATACTTGATCATATTTCTCTGAAATGCCTTATTTTTATAACTTTACAGGTAAGTACCCAGGTCAGAGGAATTACTTTACTTGATCAGTGTTTCTCAGCTTCACAGTAGTCAGTATTTAAGCCTAGACTTTTGATAATGAAGTCTGTAATACCATTTTATACTTTGGTACTTCCCTCTAGTCCCTTTTAAAGGGACTAGAAAGATTATGAGCAATTGACTAAACCATAAACCAGGGTTCCTCAACTTTTAAAATAGGGGGCCAGTTCACTGTCCCTCAGACCACTGGAGGGCCAGACTGCAGGCCCCGGGACGAGTCAGCTGTTAACCAGGACAGGCAGCAGCGGCAAAAATACCCAGCGGGCTGGATAAATGTCCTAGGTGGGCCGCATGTGGCCCGTGGGCCATAGTTTGAGGACGCCTGCCATATAGGCTAAAAACAAATAAAACCAAATTAAAAAAAAACCCAAACCCTTCCTCCCACCAAACTTTGTATTTCCTATTAAGTATACCTTAAACTTCTTATTCTCCAATTTACCTTAAACTATGGAGGTAAAACTAGGCATGTCAATGAATGGATGGATAAAAGAGGTTTTTATGAAGGAAATATGACTTTGTGACTGATGGGACATGAAGAGTTAGGGGAAGAATTTGACCAAAAGAGATGCAAGAATTACCCAGAAGAGAGCATCGCTGATTAAAATAGCTAATACTTATCTGGGATTTATTTCTTCCAGCCCACTTACCCTATGAGATGGGATTATAATTACCTCCATTTTACAGATAAGGAAGTTAAAGAACAGAGAAATAACCTGTACAAGGTCATGCAGATATTAGTGGTGGAGCTTTGATTGAATCCAGGCAGTTTAGTTCCTGCTTATGGGCTCTTAAATGCTATGTATATTCTGGTATCAAGTTATCAACTGGGGGAAATCAATTGCGAAGGGAGTTGGAAATACTCAGTTTAAATGAGAGCAAGGGACCCAAGAAGTGAACAGAGTATTTGAAATTATGTTTGAGTCTGGGGGACATAAATTTAGGATCTATGAATCTATCAGGCAGGATTTTTTGTCTTACGGGAGTGTGGAATTTTGGAAGCTGGAAAAGATATTAGAAATATTCACTACAGTTTTTTTCTTGGAGAGAACATGGAGAAAAAGAAGTTGTGAACTGAACCATGGAAAATGTTCAAGCACTGGCAGAGGACAGAGCAGAAAAACAGGGGATTATCAACAGGTCTTGGTAAATAATTACAGAAGTGAGAGAGGGAGGAGTAAAAAATGAATATGGCTTGATCTTGGTGACTAAGAGGACAATGAAACCATTTAAAAGGGCAAAGGTATTTTTAAAGATATATGTTCTAGACGATGGCGAATAGGAAATGGGATCATGTCTCTATAGAGCAGGCGTCCTCAAACTATGGCTTGCAGGCCACATGTGGCCCACCTAGTACATTTATCCGACCTGCTGGGTGTATTTGCCACCACTGCCTGTCCTGCTTAGCAGCCAACTCATCCTGGGCCCCTCAGTCTGACCCTCCAACGGTCTGAGGGACAGTGAACTGGCCCTCTGTTTAAAAAGTATGAGGACCCCTGCTATAGAGTCTAGAATAATCCAAATGACCATCCTAGGAAAAGCATTCAAACCCTCTTATCTGGCTGCAGTCTACCTTATCAGAATTATTAACCTTGCCTCCTTTCTTGCTACTTACCATATCAGCCGGGACTCTTGATTGCACGTGACAGAAAATCTCTCACTGGTTTAAGCAATAAAATAAATAGATGTAAGAATTTACTGACTGATTTAACTGTAAGTTACAGAGGAATCAAGTCCACATTGGTTTCAGGCATCAAACATGTCTCTCTAGGCCAAATCTCCATCTTTCAATCTGCTTTTTTTCACTTGCATTCTTTTTCAGAATTCATGCATGGAAAGATGAGCCCAGGCTTCCATTCTTCCAGATTTAAGTCCATTGGGGGGAAAAAAGGTAGTACTTCTCTTGGTAACTGCAGGTTAAGACAATATTCACTCAAATATGCTTTCCCAGTCCCCTCCCCCCATCCTGCCCAGAACGCCCACGTGCAGACTGAGCGTGAAGAAAGGTAATTACAGAATAGGAAATGAATACTGAACTGGCAAAAATATCTACTAAAATCCCTTCCGTTATCTGAGGGAGTAAATTAATCAAATAATGCTTTCCTACTCTCGACTGAGAAAGTCCTCAGATGAAGGGTCAGGGATCTGAGTAAATTTCTCAATTTTGATGTTTTCTGAGTATACAGCAAGAATTTAAAAAGTTTACTGATGGGAATGTTACCTTGAAGGGAAGGTTTTATAGCCAAAACAATAAATTGTATTTTTTGAAACAAGAAGATAGCTTCTATTTCAAATATAAAGAACAATCAATTTCTAATCTTTTCAATTTAGAAATTACTAGATATCAGAACTGTGAAGACCTCTTTTCTAGTAACTTAAAAGCACGGAAATCTGCTTTCTCCTATGGACCAAGTGTATCTTAATGCATGGAGGGAAGTATTATAATTTTCCCTGTGGGATAAGCAGTAAGTAGTCACACATTGTTCTAAAGAGGGAACCCATGCAAATTAGGGTACTGGTTTCCCCAGTGCTCCATTCCCTCCCTATACTGTTAAAGGCCAGGGGTAAAACTCCGAAGGAGCAAAGGACCCTGACCTCCACTGCCTCCCTCCTTCAGCCATGGGCGTATGTCCGGTCGACCTAGGCCCACCCACCGATAAGAAGCAACCCAAGATGCGCTCCTCCCGGAGATGGGGAAAAGATGCCACTGGCGGTCCACGCGCCTTCGCATCCCCTTTCTCCAAGCCCCAGGAGAAGAAATGTCAGTGATGCCACCGGGAGAAAAAGAAGTCTTCCAATAACACCCGAATAATCTAACCTGGTGTCAGCAAAGCGTTTTGCTTTGCAAGGGAGAAAGGGTTCCCTTTCTGCCTCCAGATTCCTCATCCGGCAGGAAGCTCTTCCTCTTCCTCGCCCCCGGCCTCCAGGCTGAAAACCGGAGCCTCCCGGATCTAACGCTAACGCTCCCCCGGCCGGCCGCACCCTCCACCCGGCCAGGCCCCGCCTCCCTGGCTTTCTAGTAACTGGCGCCCTCCAGACGGGCTCCAGGAAGGGGGCGCCGGGTGAACCCAGCTATCCCCGGCGCCCGGCGGTGGCCGCGGAACAGGCACACGCTAGTCCCGGAGGACCAGGAGCTCCCGGCGGCCGGGATCCCCCAGCGCGGCTCCGCGCTGGCTAACGGGGCAAGTCGCATGCGCACCCAGACGCGCCAGGGAAAGGGAGAGTGAGGGGAGGGGCAAACGCGGAGCCTCCAGCGGCCGCCAGAGTCCACGGGGTCACTGACGACGCATGCGCCAGGAGGGAGCGCAATCACTGACTCGGCTTGCGGCTACCGGTTAAAAAAAGGAAACCCCGGAGAGCCAGAGCGCGAAGGAAATCTGGCCGCTGCCGCCGCGAGCGCGTTCCCGGTGAGTGGCGCCCCACCGGGTGGGCCCGGGGCCTGACGCCCGCCGGTTGGCTTGCCTCGGCGGCGCATGCGTGCTCTCGGCGCCGGTGGAGGAGGGGAAGGGAAGGGAGGGGGAGGAGGAGCGGGCGACAGTAGCAGTGAATTTTTTGGGGGGTGGGTGGGGGGCGCCACTCACAACGCCAGTGCTGCTGGCAGGGGGAGCCGCGGTGTCTCCTGGACGCTGCCAGGTTAGTGGCTCCAAGTCACCACAGTTCGAATCCTGGGTGGAGGAGGGAAGAAACCGGAGACGCCGCAAGCCACACGGTGAGGGAGCGGGGAAGGGGAGGGAGAGGGAGAGGGGGGCGGTGTGTGTGGGGCCGGGGGGCGGCGGCCAAGGGTGGGGAAGGCGGGAGCTGAAGCCCAAGTTTTGCGTCTGTCTCTTCTGTGTCTTTTCCCGGGAGTTGGGGCGGAGGCCCGCCCTGGCCCAGGCGCCCTCTGGGGCAGCTGGGGTTACCTGCGGGGCAGGGGCGGGATTGGGGTGCACGACCGGCCGGGTGGCCTGAGGGCTCCCGAGGTTGCGGCCGATTCCAGCGGCTAGGACCCTGGAAAAGCGAGGGACCCGGTGTTCAAGAGGGTTTTCGCAGGGGACCCGCTAGGCCTTGTGACCCACTTTATTCCTGTCACTACTTGGGCACGTTTGGAGCGGCGCCCAATGGGGCGCCAGGGCGGCCAGCTCCTCTGGGGAACCCCCGCCCTCCCGGCGCCCGGCCCGCGCTCTGCGGTCTGCAGTCCGAGCGGCCGCCGCCACCGCGCGTGGGCTGGTTCCGTTAGTGGTGGTGGTTCCGGGGCTCGATCTTGGCGGCTCCGAGCGTCCGACTCTTGCAACTGCGCGGGTTCCAGGGCTGGCGGCGCGGGGCTCGGTGACCCTTCTTTCCATAACCCGCCCCTCCCGCTCGCGGTCGCTCCACCGGCGTTTCCAGATCCTTTTCCGCTCCCGAAGCTGGTTTTTCCGCCTGAAGCTGGAGAGGTAGTCCTGGCACTCAGGCCCTGAGAGTGTGATTCTTGAGTGTTTTTCGCTGGTGTAGAAGTCGCCCTGTTGATAGTAGTGAGCAGAATTCTGAAAGATAAAAGCCTCGGCCTCTGACCTGACAGATGAAAGATTAAATCAGGTTGTGATTTTTGTTGCTCTTAGAACGCCATGCTGTATGACTCCAAGGCTTTCTAGCATTTAAAAAAAAAAAAAAACCAACAAATCAACAAAACCCAAAACACACTGTTCTCTTTTGCGGTGAAAGAAATGCACAGGAAGTAAAGAAACTTTTACACCCATTGTTGATTTGACTATTAACGCCGATTCTCAAAATTAGAGGCAATTTCGCCAGAAGACCGTGTTCCAGTTTTAAATGATTAGAGGAGAAAATTGTGAAACATTACCCTTTACCTGGCTGAAAATAAACCTTCTTAAAAGGATGCAATTTAGATAATGAGTTGCTTTCTCTGAAACTTACCCCTGGGACACCTCAACTCTGGTTTGTTTTAAAATCTTGCTGGGAGGAGGAAACTAATTCAAGTGTTAAGTAGTTGACTGAACAGAATGTCTTTAAAGGTTAACCTGAAGAAGATAGACTGAAAATGTGGTGGAAGTGGTCATGATCGGCTATGAAAAAAGGATGGAAGCGCTCCTGGATACTGACGTGGAAAGATCTCAGAAATTTGTTACAAAGTGAAAAAAACAAGGTGTAGGACAAAGAATGGCATCCTATTTTGTGTGTGAGGGGGCATGTGCACTAATGTACACTTACGTTTGCTCTTCTATATATAATATAAACTCTGGGAGGACACTAGTTTTCCAGTTACTGAAAACTAGTAACCACGGAGGAGAAGGAGAAGTAGCGTGATGAGGAAAGGGTGGAAAATGAGATTTACTGTGTGTATGTCTTATTTTTTATTTTTTGTAACTATATTATGGATTCATAAACCAAACTAAACAAAAACCCTCCTCCCCCAAATAATTTGTGTGCTTTTTGGTTGCCTAATTTATGGTGTTTTGACCATTTTCAATTTGATTTCTTTTAATACATTTTAGAAAAATGAAATAAGAAATTTATAATAAATTTGGCTACTTTAAGTTTTAAGATGCTGTTGTCAAAGGCAAATTTATCTTTTCAGGTGTTTAGTTATATTTCGCTTAGCCAAAATATATGACATGGTTTACATTTGGCATTATGACTATTATATTGTATAGTATGTGTCCCTCCCTTTCCTCATTTTTAGGAGTCATAGGTTTATACACTTTAATTAATCCCAAAGTTTCATGATGAATAATTGGAGGATATGGACGAAATTCCACTAAAATGATAGCATATTTGATTGTCTAGATTAGTTTGCTTTTCAGGTTGAGAAACTTTTCTTTCTCTTAAGGAAATATGGTATGAACCTCAGTGAAATGTAAATTTTGTGTGTGTGTGTGGTTATTTCTTATGAAAAAATAAAACTAAGCAGCAATGTTCTGTTGGTACAAAAAAATGAACACTTTTTATAGCTATAGATAACAGTGGAAACCTTTTTAATGAAAGTTAAGATTGAAAGGGGGGTTTTTAAGAGTAGATACAATTTTAGGGGGCCATAATCAAACTCCCTCTGCTGACTAATATTTTATGATTTAATGGTCGGGAGTGATTTAGCAGTTGGTGTGGGCATTTTTGGTAATGTCAGTATTCCTTTTTATTTTGTAGGATGGGATAGTTATACTATTTCTGTTTGATATGGGAGTTTCCATTATCAAACCTTCTACAGATTAGCAGTTTTTCATTTGAACTTTGTGGGCCTATTCAATCTTTTTAAAAGGTGGATCACATTTTAAATTTTCATTTATATTTTTTTAAATTACAGAACTAAGTTGATGCTTATGGAAATTTAAAACAACCCCATTACATACCTCTGCTTCTAGCCCATGTGCCCCCTAGAGATAACCACTGTTAACACTGTATCCTTTTCAGAGTTAAACTCTGAATTGTCTTGAGTGACCATTTGCTCCTGCCAATTTCCTTTTATCTTGGTCTCTGTTATTACCTTTAGAGCAGGGAAATTACCTGGATTATGTCAGAAAGTTAACATCTGACCTGCACCTCAGGACATGTTCATCTTTGAGGGAACAATTGGTGTGGAGGTATTTGCAGAGTTTGCAGGAAGGTTTACTGATGTGAGCTTTATCTGTTACAAATTGAATTCACCATAAAGACTTGGATTCCATGAATTTCTAGGACTCTTTAGAGGTTAACAGTAGTTTTCTTTTGCTTCTGACCTCATCAATGACTCATGGGTTATACTTTGAAATTTTTCTCCTGTACTTGTAGACCACTACGAAAACCTTCTAGATTACATCAGCCTCCTCAGGTCCTCCGAAGTGAACCTTAGTAGACTCTGTATTCAACTAAGTGACACTGATTTACTTCCAGCGTTTGAAGAGAAAGCAGAGAACAAGCTCTTTGATCTGGGTTGTTCTTAATTGATAGCGGACAGATAGTAAGTAACAATGCAGGATGAGCGACTGCCTTCAGTAGGTTTGAGATCTGGTTTGATTAAAAGAGCCTATGCATCAGTGGTTCTCAGCTATCCTAATGCCTCCTAATGCCGCTACCCTTTAATACGGTTACTCATGTTGTGGTGACCCCCAACCATAAAATTATTTTCGTTGCTAACTTCATAACAGTAATGTTGCTACTGTTATGAATTGTAATGTAAATCTGATATGCAGGATGTATTTTCATTGTTACAAAGGGGTCGTGACTCACAGGTTGAAACCGCTGCTATACATACTCTTACAACAAAAAAGAAAGGACAGGTTCTAGAAGAAAAATAAAGATAAGATGTGTATATTTTGGAAATATACATATAAGATGAGACAATTTCCAGCTTTTTGGGGGGGAGGGTGAGAGCATGGGATTTTGAGGGAGAATATGTATCTGAGTTTTAATCAGGACAGAACAGACTTAGTAGCTCTTAATGTATGGAGTTAAGTTGCATCCTTATAGCAAGTATCTATGAGACTAATAGCTATTTTAATAGTTTTGTTTTTTAAGCTTTCACACTGGAAAGAGCCATTTGCTATTTTATTTGATAGTTATAACCTCTACAATCTTTAGATTTTAGAATTGCTGGAAATATTAAATTAGGAAATTTAATTTTATCAGTTAATTATTATCTACCATCAATTATATCAGGCATTGTTATTAAAAGAAAGTTGTTTCCTCCTATCTCATTCTTTCCTCAAAGCACATATTTAATGTCACCTCTCCTACACATTTTTACTTCCAATGCTGTGTCAAATAAAATATTTATCTGCTGTGAATGTTTTAATAAAAAAATTGTGGGTGGAAAAATCACTTATGTTTCACATTATAGTGAAACTACCTTTTATTGTGTCTGTTTCCTTATAGTTCTTTGCTGATGCAGAAGGAAAGTATTTTTTAAAGTGTATGTTTTTTTTTTGGTAGTCATTACACCAGTGGATATTGTATTTTCTCCTTTTCTGAATCTAAAATTCTGGATGGAGTTATATGAATTATTTATAGAACACTTGTAAGTGTCAGAGCAAATTAATTCTTACTAATGGACTGTAATTATACATGTGTAATGAAATTTGTGTTTATAGGTCGCTTTACAGCTATTATTGGCCTTGCTAGGTGTAACTTCTATCATCTAAGTAAAGAGATTCTTGTTGTTCTCCATGTTTTTGATTGTGCAAGGGCTAAATTAAAACTCATTCTCATAGTCTCAACTCTTGAGTTAATTTACTTTAGTTGTATATTTGCAAAGATGTAATTCTGCTTATTTTAAATCTTAGACATATACAGAGAGAAAACACTTGTAAAAAATGAATTTTTATGAATTGTTTTGAATTTTATTTTGTATGCTGTTTGGATGTGATTTACTTTTTATTTTTCAGAATTTTTTTTTCATTTTTACATTAATGGCATAAAGACATGCATTTTTATCTTTTTCAAGGGGTGCTCACTTAGT